CAAGTGGATCTTTGGGTAAAAAAGAAAAGAAAAGGAAAAAGATGCATGATCATTTTGGTTTGTATATTTATTACTAAGAAAGAAGCAGTGCTGGAAATTCCACTGTGCCCACCATTGATCATGAGACCTAGTTCAATGTCAGAGGCACTATGAAAGCATCAGCACTGAGAGCTGATGAAATGGTCGAGCTCTTCTGTTTAATGCCCATGCCGGTGCTCTGATGCGGATGCTGTCAACATCCTCCATGCGTAATAGGGAGACGGTGGTCTCCCCGGAGGCACAAGCTCCTTCCGGAGGCTGACTCCTGACCCCTTTTCCTTTCCTGCTCCTCTAACTCATTGTTCCTCCCCCTTTCTTCCTCCAGTCACATTCAGTACTGCTGGCCTTCTCACATAGGAATCTATGCGTCTTCTCCTCGGGACTAAAGAATTCAGGGAGGCAGGGACTATTCCGAGTTGTCGTTGTCTCCCTGTCACCCCAGCCTTCCGCAGGGTCAGCTTTGCCTACTTGAACTGAGCCGTTCTGCCCAGCCTCCCCGTGGCGAGCAAGCACAAATGAACCGTAAGCGTGCGGTTGCCAAGGAGACCTTGCTATGTCCAGTGCTGGCCAAACTAAACACCCTCCTTTGCAAGGAAAGCTTTGTGAACAAGTGTGGACACGTCCTTGCTTTCAAAGCAACAGTTTGAAAATGGCCAAGTTCCTTTTTTTAGAGAGCTTTTTCATCTTTCTTTCTTTTTTTCTTGCAACAGGGTCTCGCTCTGTCATCCAGGCTGGAGTGCAGGGGTGCGATCACAGCTCACTGCAGCTTCTGCTTCCTGGGCTCAGGTGAGCCTCCTGCCTCAGCCTCTCAAGTATCTGGGACCACAGGCACACACCAGCACACCTGGCTATTTATTTATTTATTTATTTTGCAGATACAAGTTCTCCCTATACTGTCTAGGCTGATCTCAAACTCCTTGCCTCAAGAGATCCTCCTGCCTCGACCTCCCATAGTACTGGGATTATAGGCGTGAGCTACGTCACCCTGCATCTATTTTAATTTTTAAATTTTTAATTAACTTCCTTTTTTATTTTTTTAGAGATGAGGTCTTGCTATGTTGCCCAACCTGGTCTTGAACTCCTGGGCTCAAGCAATCCTCATGCCTCAGCCTCCAGAATAGCTGTGATTACAGGCACACGCCACTGTGCCCAACTAAATGTTTATAAATAAACTTCTGAATTTGGAATTTAGGCTTACAGGAAACGCACTGACAGTGCAGAGTTCCCATACACCCCCAAACTCTGTGTTTCCTAACATTTTACGTAACCATAGCACAACCAACAATGTTGTTACAACTATGAAATAAACTTTGAGGCCAGGTGCAGTACCTCGCGCCTGTAATCCTAGCATTTTGGGAGGCTGAGGCAGGCAGATCACTTGAGATCAGGAGTTTGAGACCAGCCTGACCAACACAGTGAAAATTTAGCCAGGTGTGGTGGCGCACGCCTGTAATCCCAGCTGCTTGGGAGGCTGAGGCAGGAGAATCGCTTGAACCTGGGGGGAGGCGGAGGTTGCAGTGAGCTGAGAGTGCACCACTAAGCTCCAGCCTGGGTGACAGAGCAAGACTCTGTCCCCCCCTCCCACCAAAAAAAAAAAAGAGAAATAAATCAGGCTGGGAGCAGTGGCTCACGCCTGTAATCTCAGCATTTTGGGAGGCCCAGGTGGGGGAATCACCTGAGGCCAAGAGTTCGAGACCAGCCTGGCCAGTATGGTGAAATCTTATCTCTACTAAAAATACAAAAAATTAGCAAGGCATGGTGGTGTACACCTGTAGTCCCAGTTACTCAGGAGGCTGAGGCATAAGAATGGCTTGAACCCAGGAGGCA